GTAAATAAACCTCCCAGTCACGTTCCCTTCAATGACACCTGCGGTTGTCCCTTGAGTGTCTTCACCGTGACACAGCACAGGGTCGGGGCTGCCCTTGTTTCTCGGCGAGGCAGGTGGAAGGGGGGTCGAGAGGGAGAACTTTTTGCGTGCCGAAAAGTGCGCTTTTCACCATTACTTGCAACTCTGATGGACAAGGATCTTACTTTGCTTTCACACACGCATGCATACACACACACATATATAGACGTGTGTGTGTATATATATATATATTATATATATATATATATTATATATATATATATATATATATATATATATATATATATATATATATATATATATATATATATATAATATATATATATATATATATATAAAACACACACACACACATATATATACACATATATACACACACACATATATATTGTGTGTATGTATATATATGCATATATACATACATATATTATATATATATATATAATATATATATATTATATATATATACATACATGTATGTATGTATGTATGTATATACACACAAACATACGCACAGACACACACACACATGTATTTATATATATGTGTATACTGTGTGTGTGGTGTATATAAATATGTATACTTATACATGTATATGTATGTATGTATATACACTCATATATACACTATATATACATGATATATATACATACACACACACATATATGATATATATATATATATATATATATAATATATATATATATATATATATATATATATATATATATATATATATATATATATATATATATATATATATATTATATATATATATGTATATATATGTATATGTATATATATATATATATATATATATATATATATATATATATATATGAGTGTGTGTGTGTGTGTGTGTGTGTGTGTATATATATATATATATATATATATATATATATATATATATATATATATATATATATATATATATATATATATATAACCAGACCAGATTATGTCATACCAAAAAAAAAAAGTAAACAAACATCATTCTTGTGAAGTTGCCAGAATCTTTAGAATATTATCTTTGTTGCTCTGAACGGAGCAGCAAATCGCGGCCACCGACTCGGCCCGCGTGGCCACGAGGCCAGGGGGGCCGTACGCCGTTTTAGAACTCCTCCCGGGAGGACTCGCCGCTCCTAAGCTGCGAAACGAGGACGAAAGCGAAGCGTGGGAGGGACAGGAGCAGCTCTGGTGGAGGTTAAGGAGGGAGGAGGAGAGAGGAGGGAGGAGGAGGGAGGGAGGGAGGAGGGAAGGAGGGAGGGAGGGAGGATACCAGCCCCTACCTTATTAGGATTCTCTTCGCGCCTCCTCCCCTCCTCCTCCTCCTCCTCTCCTAATCCCCTCCTCCCCGGTTCCTCCCTCTCCTCCCACAACCTGTATCGCCCTTGCATACCCCCACTGACCTACATATTCCACAACCTCCGTAGAAACATCCTCGAGGCCCTGCGCAGAGGAGAGACACTTGTCCTGACAACCCATCCTCCTCTCGCACGACTCCTCTTACTTAACTTATCTCCCGCTGACGTAGGGTGCCGCCCTCGGGAGAGCCGAGCCGGGCCGAGGCCACAATGCCGAGGTCCCAGTGCATACACGGCAGGAAGGGATCGGGTGCTGAGGGACGTCCCCAAGCAGGTCGACGGATGCGCGTGTCAGCAGCACGGGAGTAGCGAGGGAACCGCGTTTTTCTCTTGCAAATTTTCTTGAGTTACTGATTATTATTGTTCTTTCTTTGTGGTATCTCTAATAGGCGAAACTGACCCCCTCCCCCCCTTATCCCCCGCCATTGCGACTGAAATCTTTCTGGGTCGTCGGGTGCGTGCCCCATAATGCACTGCGAAATCCCTAAATATCACACGCCGGTTTTTTACAGTCAATAGCCTTTCATGCCTCTCTTTCCCGGCAAAAGAACACGCTTGCGGAGCTCGTCTTTCTTTCGCGGTCAGAACAAAGCAAGGACGCGGCTCTCATCTCCTGAACGCGCTCTAACGGGTCTTCTCTCGCGGCGCGCCTTCTGCCAGCCAGGCGTCCCGAACCCTCCCGAGTCATGCCCGAAACGGGGTCATGCGCCCCTGGATGCAGTACTTCATAATCGCTGTTTAGAGGAGCCTCGGCGCCGCCTCGCAAGCAGATCGCGTTGAGCGGCGCCTGAGTGTCAACAGACTCGGCCCGTTACTCGAATTCCTCAGGAAAAACAGGTCAGTTTCTACGAGTGACAGGAAGGCTCAAGACACAACTGTTAAACGCGACAGCCCACAAACGCATCTCTATTGTGTCGGGAATTCCGAGCCGCCGCTGCCGGAACGGCCTTTGTTCTTGGCTCCTGACTGCCTTAAAGTTGGGAATCAATTAAGGCAGTCGTGTATGGATGTGCTCGGTGCACGTATGTGAGCTTCGATGTATATGAGGTGGCACGTATATATGAATGCATATATGTATGAACATGTATATGTATATACATACATAATGCATGCATGCATACACGCACACACACACACACAAAGACACAAACACACACATAGATAGATGGGTAGATATGGATTTATAGATATGTGTGTGTACATATTTATACATACACACACCCATAAAGAGGCCTGGGAGCTGTCTCGTGGCGGCCGACCCGATCGCCCGAGACAGATTCCGAACAGGCAACAACCTCACCCTTTACGTCACGCTTCAGCGCTCGGGATCCCACCCTTAAACACTCCTACCCGAGAGACCATTTTACGCCCTCGCAGATTGTGGCTTGACATTCTCTTGTCCTGAAAACTTCGATGTCACTGTCCTTCGTTCTTCAGGCTTCCGCGTGACACAAAAAGCCTGTCTTGAGCCGAAACTGAATTCATCCGCCTCTGAAACAGGCTGACCTCTCTTCCTTCTGAAGCATTTCGTTCTGCTTGCCTGCATATATATATATATATATATATATATATATATATATATATATATATATATATATATATATATATATATTATATATATACACTTTGTGTGTGTGTGTGTTGTGTGTGTGTGTGTGTGTGTGTGTGTGTGTGTGTGCAGATACATATAAATACACATCTCTACCTCCAGTCTGCTCCCTTCCTCCTACCTTCCCTCTGCCTCTTCTACCTTTCCCGCCCTCCCGCCCCCTCCACTCCCGAATCTTCCCTCCTACACTCAGCCCTACATCTGCCCCTCACTCTTCCCTCCTTTTCCGAAACACCCCCTCCTTCCCCCTTCCCCATCTCCCTTTTTCGTTGAAGCCTTCCCCTCAATTTCCCTTTTTTTAAGACAAGAAATTCATAATATGATCCCTTTATTTGTGTGTATTGTTATTTGATATTGATATTGTCGATTATCCAATTACCCTTTTTACATCAAAACGAAGCGACTTCAACTCCGCAGTCACATGGAATATAATTCCAGACGTAATATAAATTTTATTTGCGAAAGAATGGACAGACAAAACACAAGTAGAATTAAGATATATGCATGCGTGTGTGTGTGTTATGACTACACAGCTGTACGTGTGTGTGCAAACCTGCACATGTCTGTTTCATCAACGTAATTGCATCAAAGTCACGTTCGGGTCGCCCAGGTGTCTCGCGCGCGAACCCGGGCGAGTTCCGACGGGGTTGAGAACCTGCGCCGAGAACCTCCCGAGAGACTCTTCCAAGGGACAAGTGGCCCAGTTGACAAATCTCCGAAGCTCCGGACCTCTTAACTCAAGGACCTCGGTTGAAATCACCAGAAAAGCGTACGAGGAGACCGTCTGAAGCGGACTTTTACCGGTCCGACGTGACGCTGAGTTTACTTCGTTTCTTTCTGCGACCTCCTCTCCTCCTCCTCCTCCTCCTCCTCCTCCTCCTCCTCCTCCTCCTCCTCCTCCTCCTCCTGCAATTCCACGTCAAGCCGCAGCAGCTCACGGCACAAAAGGGACCATTTCCACATCCGTCTCCTCTTGCTCGTCATCCTGCGTCGCTGAAGACAAAGTGCGAGGAATACGGACGAAGATACAAAGACATTCGAAGTGAAGACAGGTTTAATTTTTGGATCGAAGCCGAACTCCGAATTTCCGTGACTTTCCAGGGCAGGGAAGTGATAGTTTCGACAATCGAACAACCGAAATCATAAAAGTAATGAGCGAGGCGGTTTCAACCGGCCGAGAGCAGAAGGAAGATGCGTTTCTGCAGCTTCAGCCGGACGGCGCAAAACGGCCTCGCTTCTTACTCGCAGCTGAGTCACTGATCGCGGGCGCCCCCAGCGTGACGATCCAGACTCAGGAGCTCCCACGATAATCTGTGTTTGCCTTTGCGCCAGTGTGCGCTGCCTCGCTGTGCATGCTCAGTGCGCAGTGTGTGTGTGTGTGTGTGTGTGCTCAGCAAATGTTCGAGCATAATCACCGTACGCAACGCCATCTGTGAGAATTTGATCAAAATGTTTGTTTTATATAATTATGCAACTGGCTGACACACACACACGACCACACACACATACACACACGCACACACACATTTATATATATATATATATATATATATATATATATATATATATATATATATATATATATATATGTGTGTGTGTGTGTGTGTGTGTGTGTGTGTGTGTGTGTGTGTGTGCTGTGTGTGTATGCATATTCATTAGGCACACATTATTGTACTTAGGACTACATGTCAATAGACTAGGTATAAACACGTTATCCAGAGAGCATGCTCGGTTCCTGATTCTCTTGTGAATTTTGGCAAGTGAACCAAAGATCGTGTTAAGTCTATACGCACGGCTTTCCTGCGGTGAATAGAATCCTCAGTGAAATCTTTCTGGAAGAGAGGGGGAGTGGGGGAGTGGGAGGGGGAAGTAAGGGAAGAGAGAGGTGATAGGGGGAGAGGGAGAGAGGAGAGAGAGAGAGAGATAGGGGGGAGAGAGAGAGAGATAGGGAAGGGGAGAGAGAGAGATTAGGAGAGAGAGAATGAGAG